CTTAGTGGTACAGCACTCTCCGTCAGTATGCTGCACTGAGGTAACCTGGGGTTGCTGTGATGCTGAACCTTGTGCCATTGGGGTGTCAAATGCCATAACCCATGGTGGACAGTGTTTGGAGGAACTCCCAGTTTAAGACAGGTTTGGAAGCAGGAGTGGCATCCACTTCCTAAACAACATGCCTCCAGAAACTCTGAACTTTGATAAATATTGATAGTTATAGAAAGGCTTCGGGCCTTTTGTTCATAGGGCCACTGTGAGTCGTGCTCGACTCGAAGGCAATCCACAGGATTTGTATTCAGAATATATAAGGAGCTCTTGATATTCGATAATTAAAAACAACCAACCCGACTGAAAAAGGACCTGAATGGGTATTTCCCCAAAGAAGACGTGGTGGTGGTGGTGGTGCTGTTGAGCCAGAAGCAAGTCCTAGCTGACCCTTCAGCGAGCTTTCAGGGACTGTAAATCACATGGGAAGAGAATGCCCATCTTCCTCTGTGAAGCAGCTGGTGGATTTGAACCATGTGCCTTTTGGGTTTGCAGCTAATTCCTAACCAGCAGAACCACCAGAGCTCAAAGAAGATACACAAATAATCAGTGAAGACATGAAAAGACATTCAGTGTCACTAGTTATGACAGAAACGCAAACTGGAAGCACAGTGAGCCAGTGCTTTCCATCTGGTAGGACAGCGGTAGTCACTGAGCAGACCCCATGGCCCTACTACCCTACTGCTCCAGGGCCCCACTGCCCCACAGTCTCATGGCCCCACGGCCCCACGGCCCCACTGCCCCACGGATCCACAGACCCACAGCCCTATGGCCCCATGGTCCCACTGCCCCACCACTCTGAAAGTGACCACAAGCAAGTCTTGGAGAACAAAGTTCAAAACCCTATCCATCACTAGCGTCAGTGGTCTAACAGCCAGTCTTGCAGCCTGGAACAGAATCCACATCTGCGGCACGAGTTTCAGCAGCCGACAGCCTTGGTTCTAAGGGAACACCAAGAGCAGGGAGGCACCTGGTCCTTAGACCAGTCAACCACACAAAATGAGGGCCAGCGTGTGCCCAGGCATAAGGCCGAGGAGGCAGGGAGAGAACGCAGGAGGATGACGGGGAAGTCCTCCTAGAGGAAGGGGTGAGACGGATGCTGACACAATGCAGGGATCGGATTCTCTGTGTGACTTGGAAAGACAGGGTAATGGTGGGCATAGTTCAGTGGTGACTACTTTTATAAAACACAATGAATGGTATTGATTTTACGAAACATAATGTGAATGAAGGGTAGTGTGAAACACAATGTATGTGAACTTTGTAAGCAAACAATAGAAAATATTTTTTAAAAAACCCAACAACCAAACACAAGAAATGCCCTTCTACAAAGATGACATCAGAAGCAAAGAAGGAAGCCCCTTCCCCTCCCAAAACTGAAGCCAAAGCAAAGGCATTAAAGGCCAAGGGTGCATCTTGAAGGGCATCCACAGTCACAAAGAAAAAGGGTCCACATGTCACCCAACTTCGGGCGGTCTAAGACAGAGACCCTGAAGGCAGCCCAAATACCCCTGGAAGAGCGCCCCCAAGAGAAACAAGCTTGACCACCGTGCCATCATCAAGTTTCCCCTGACCACTGAGTCAGCCATGAAGAAGATAGAAGATACACTTGTGTTCATGGTGGATGTCAAGGCCAACAAGCACCAAATTAAACAAGATGTAAAGAAACTCTGTGACACTGATGTGCCCAAGGTCAACATTTTGATTAGGCCTGATGGAGAGAAGAAGGCTTATGTTTGACTTGCTCCTCAATAGGATGTTTTGAATGTTGCCAACAAAACTGGGATCATCTAAACTGAGTCCAGCTGGCTAATTCTAAATATACATTTTTTTTCTCACAAAAAAACCCACAACAGAGCAACCCAAGAAAAAAATGTGTATGAATACCTAAATGGAAAAAACAATCTGCTCCATAAACTTCCACTCAGATAACAAAAAATTTGAAGAAAAAAAGAAGTACTGGCAGTAATGTGGAGAAACTAGAATCCTTATTCACTGTTGATGAGAATATAAAATCACTATGCAACCATGACAAACAGCTGGCGTTAAGATGTTAACCAGAGTTCACAGCTGACCTAGCCATTTGGCCGAAGCATGCACCCTGGAGAATTAAAGACGTCTGTCTAATGAGTGTTCAGGGCAGCACTATTCCTAACAAGTCAGACGTCTATCACATAATGAAGGGATAAATGAGATGAGTGCAACACAAGGCGTTACTCTGTGGCAGCAGAAAGGAATGAAACAAAGCTTGAGCATATCACCACCTGGACACACCGAGCTGACGAAGGAGAGAAGCAGACAGGGCAGACACATCCTGACAATTCCACTTACAGTGTTCACCACACACAAAACAACGGAGACCGAGGTAAACGAGTAGCCATCCAAGGACAGCGAGGGTGGGGGCCGATGCGGAGGGGATGATGAAAATGGCCCAACAGCGATGACAGTGAAATGCACTTTAAATGAGTGAACTTTGTGGTGAATCCTGTCTCAATAAAGTCGCTGAAAAGAAAGTGACCTGACTGGTCACCCTCAAGTGCCCTCTGAGTTCTCCCAGTCAGAGGTCAATTTCCTCATCATCTCAAGGTCAACATGAACACTTGCTTCTTTTCCAACACAGACTCGTCGATATCACAGTTGTTTCTTGTGGGTTTGGTGGGCATTTCGTTGCTGATGAGTGTACCCTGGAGAGATCTTCACATTAGATTTCCCAACGCAACATGCTCTTGGTTTCCTGACTGCTGTTACCATGTGTGAGTTGTGGATCTAGGTAAAATGAAACTGTTGACCAGTTCTGTCTGTCTGTCTGTCTGTCTGTCTGTCTATCTATCTATCTATCTATCTATCTTGTCTATTGGTCCCGTGGTGAGAATTCTTGTTTTCCTACTGATGAGATGTACCAGGTATATTTCTTTTAGGCTCTATTTTCATTAGAACATTCCCTATTTAAAAATCACTAAATATGCCCTTCTGAATACAGAATCAAGACCTCATGTTTCTGCTAGGGCCGAGGGCTCTGGCGGGTGGCCCGGCAGTTCCCAGCACCACCCTTAGCTCTCTTAGAAGCACAGCTGTGCAATCAAGCTCTCCAATTTTCCTCTGCTCACAATGTCCAATGGATCCTGTCCATGGCAAGCTGGACCATGGCCTAGGGATATTATACTAATGTCAGATGGATCTTAGCTGAGAGCAGAGAGCACCAGAGGAATGTCTATCTGTGCTTCATTGACTATGCAAAGGCATTTGTCTGTGTGGATGACAACAAACCATGGCTGACTCTGAGAAGAATGGTAAGCCCAGATCATTTGATTGTGTTTATGTGACAACTATACTTGGACCAGGAGGCAGTCAACAGAATAGAGCAAGGAGACACTGCATGGTTCAGAATTGGGAAAGGTGTATGCCAGGGATGTGTCCTGTCTCCATATCTTTTCAATCTATATGCAGAACAGATGTCTGATAGGCTGGGTTGTATGAAGAGGAATGTGGCATCAGGATTGGAGAAAAACTCATCAACAACCTATGATATGCAGATGACACAACCCTGCAGCCTTCAATATGGATTGAAGCTAAACATCAAGAAAACAAAGATTCTCATCATTGGGCCAATTGGCAGCACCATGATAAATGGTGAAGAGATTGAGATTGTTAACAGCTTTAGTTTGGTTGGCTCCACAATCAACACTCCTGGTACCAACAGTCAGGAAATCAAGAGACGAATTGCACTTGGAAAGTCTGCTATCAGGGACCTCTCCAGAGTATTGAAGAGCAATGACATCAGTCTGGAGACTAAGGTGTGCCTGATCCAGGCCATTGTCTTCACAATATTTTCTGTGTCAGAGAGCTGGACAATGACGAGGGATGATAGAAACAGAATTGATGACTTTGAACTGTGGTGCTGGAGAAGAGTATTGAATATACCACAGACTGCCAAGAGAACAAACAGGTTCATCCTAGAGAGGGTGAAGCCAGGCTGCTCCTTGGAGGCCAAAGATTCTGAAGCTTCGTCTCACATATTTTGGACATGGTACAAGGAGGGATCAGTCCTTGGAGAGGGACATCATGCTGGGAAGGGTGAAGGGACAGAGAAAGAAGACCATTGGCGAGATGACTGATGCAGTGACTGGGGTTATGGGGGTAGGCGTGTCAGAGACAGTAAGGTTGGCACAGGGTAGAGCAGGGTTCAGGGCTGTTGTACAGGGGTTGCTATGAGTCACAAGCAGCACCACTACCACCTGTGCTTCTGAGCCAAAAACTGTACTTCTCAGGTGACCTGGATCCACCAGAAGCTCCTCATGCGCAGCTGGGTGGTCTCCTCCCAGAAACCCAACAGAGGGTCAGCTGTGAGTCTGAACCAGCTCTGTGTTAACGAGTGAACTAAATTCAAAAGTCCTTTAGAATCCAATTCCAATTCTCTTCCATAACTTCTCAGATCCAGTGATCACATTACCCACACACATCTCTGTCCAGTTGGATGGTAAAACCCTCATTTGTAAGAGCCAGTATTTTATCTTCTCAATTTCATGAACAAGTATGTATGGAAGGCCTCTTATTGGAGGGTGGGGGAGACTGTACAGCCAAGTGGGTCTCACCTTCATGAAGTCCTCAGAGGAGAGGACAAACCTCCGGGTGCAGTTCAAAGCCTGCCGGCCTCAGACGAAGGGGCACTCCCACCCTCATCACCCCAGTCACTGAATGAACCCCTCCCGCCTGATGCGCGCACACGTGCTCACACCTCTGCTTCTCCCAGCAGCTGAGGAGGGCTGATGGCGCAGCACACAAACTCCTGCCTCTGTGTGACACAGCTGTGCTTATGTTCTCACCCAGCTGCTCACTTCCATAGACAACCAATGCTGGTGACGTGACAAACACGGTATGTGACACGTGTCATCCTTACAGAGCACCGCACGCACTGCTGTCCCCCGTGTCACCCCTCTGGGTGTCCCACGTACCACTGCCCCGCCACACTTCAGCTAGATGACAGCTGCCCTCTCCAGGCTCCTTGCAAAACTCGACAACATCACGACAGGTTGTTTCCGGGGTGATAGGAACTTCTGTCAAAATCTGTTCATTGTTGCTCAGGAACACGGTTAATATCATCTGCAAGAAAAAAAAAGATTAAGAAATTAAAGTTGTGCATCTAAATTCCAAAATCAATCTCCATAATAGTCTATGTGTTTCCTACTGCCAAAGGGGCCCTTTAGAGTAGTGAGAGATCTTCACCCTGAAACCCACAGCGTCCCTTTTCAGCAGGAAGTAGCTAAGAGAATACGCCATCCCCTTTTCCTTATGACTCAGGGTGAAGTCTCTCTCAGGGAGGAGTGATAAGGAATGGCAAAGGACACACTGACAAAGAAGATTAATCAGAACTGGCTTTGACAAGCACTGTGGCATTTGGACAAGAACAAACTGGGAGGAGGGTAGAGAGAATAGTGCAACAATGAATGAATGGAAACCCAAAATCTCTGTAAATGTTTATGAAAATTAATAAAATATAATTATAGGAAAAAAAAAGCAAAAAAAAAAAGAAAAAAAAAGAAATTAAAGTTGTAACCTGAATTCATTCACAGCTACAGACCTATCTGTAAATTTTAAATGATCCTTCCCTCCTCCTTCCAAATACCTAGGAGGTTATAGAAGGCTGATTCTCAAGTTCATGTAGAAAAATTTAAAAGATACATCTTGAAAATTCCCAAAGAGAAGAACACTAGGAGGGGCCCTCACCAGCAGAGGCCCTCACCAGCAGGGGCTCCCACTAGAAGGGGCCCTCACTATAGGGGGCCCTCAGAAGAAGGGGCCCTCACTAGAAAGGGCCCTCACTGGAAGGGGCCCTCACCAGCAGGTACCATGTTGTTGCTGTTGTTGTTGTTGGACGCCATCAGTCAGGACAGACTCACACTAAGCTGACCCCAGCAGGTGTGCAAAGGCTGTGAACCACACAGGAGGACAACTAGTGGACTTGAACTCCTGCCTTTGGCTTGGCAGCACAATTTCTTACTCACTAGGCCACCAGAGAAGCTGTACTGCTAACTTAAAGGCAGTTGGTTCGAATCCACCAGCAGTTTTGAGGCAGAAAGATGGGCAAACTTCTCTCATGCCGTTTACAGCCACTGAAAACTTGCTGGAGGGTCCGCAGGGGTCACTCTGTCTGATGAGTGTGAGCAGACAAGACAGGCTCTCTGAATAACGTGGCCTGAACACACAGCTACCTGGAGGGTACAAACCACCGAGCCAGGAAACAGGCCCGACGTACCTACACACAGAAAAGGAGCAAGTGACAAAGGGGCCAGGTGGACAGGGACCTGCCGCCCTGAGATGGTCCTGACGCCGAGGGCCCTGAGGGACAGAGCAGAACTGTCCATGATCCCGGAGGGCGGCAGGCCTTACGGAAGCAGATGCCTCATCTGTCTCATACAGCAACTGGTAGGTTTGAACCAGGAACCTCACAGGGAGCCTCCAAGTGCTTTAACTATGTCACCACCAGTGTGTAAAGAAAGGAAGTAATTAAAAATCATGGAGGAAAAAAATTCTACAGGGCACGCTTTTTGAGTAATTAAGACAGTCATCTGGAAAAAGCCGAACAGCATTCAGAACCACATAACAACACCATACAAACGCCAGGTGGAAGCGTGGGAGAATGCCTGCCTGACCATGCGGCGCAGTAACCCCTCTAACTGTGACCCAAACCCAGAATACAAAAAAAAACCCCTAAAAAACCCAACCTTGACAGATTCAAGTACATGCAATCTGAGCCTTCCCATTAAAGCAAAGTACAAACTGGGAAATAACTTTTTAACTCATAGTACAAAGTAAGGGCAAATATTTCAAAACATAAACATTCCTAAGAATTGGTAAAAAAAGGCAAAAAATGAAATTTACAAAACAAAAAAAAAAAGGGAGCAAGTAAATGAGTAATATACCTCAGCAAGAGCAATGCAAATGGTCTTACACATAAAAATACATGATTATCATAGGGGGCTTTGGTGGCCTAGTGGCAAGAAGCTGCACTGAAATCCCAGAGGTGTGCGGTCTGAATCCACCAGATGCTCTGCTGGAGAAGGAGGGGCAATCTCCTCCTGTACCATTCAGATCTGATTTGACTGTACATACAAATTTTTTTAAAAAGTACATGGCTATCTGTTTAAAAAACAGTTTTTAAATTGTCTCACCTTATTTAAAAAGAGAGTGGGAAAAAGAAGGCAGAGTGGGGGAGATGAAGACAGAGAAAGGAAAACCAAAACCCAACGTTCTCTTCTCACTTTTATCTCATGTTTGCAGAGATTAGTCAGAGGGGATTTTAAAAATAATTACTCCTAAAAATCCAGATACTCATTTCCACGGAGTAGGAATCCGCTCAGAGCTGCCCCTCCAGTGGGCTTCTGGAGACCGTAAATCCCGCGTGCGGGGCTGCTCACCTTCCCCTCAGACCCGGGTGGATTCGAATCACTTAACTTTGGGTTAGCAGCAAAACATGGACTGTGCCACCAGAGCCCCTCCAGGACCACTTGAACCAGAAAACACTCTACTCAGCTTCTCCTCCCGCCACGACCAAAGACAAGGCAGAAGCAAAACCAGATTTATCCTAAGACTTCCTTCTTTCTCATCATTTCTGGAGCCAACTCACTCCAATTTTTTTCATGTAAGTGCCCTAAACCTTCAAGTTTTTTAATTAAACATCTGTCATGCGATGCGATCTGATGTAACATAATGATCAAATTACATAAACAAAACTGTAGTAACTCTGAGGGGTGTTGGCAAGCCGGCCTCTACTGTCCGTTCAATGGCACTGCTGGGCTTCACTGTCCACACCGCCCCCACTGCTGCAGCTGCCAGGCCCAAGCGTCTCCTCCAACACGTAAACAGGAAGCAGGCTCTGCTTGGATTAGAGAGGAGGGCTTAGGACTGTGCTCCGGGAAGGCAGATTTCTCCTTGAAGAGCCTCTGATGGGCACTGCGCTCTCCACAGAAGGCCGTCTGAGAGGGTGGAGATGGCAAGCTCCGAGCAGAGCAATGAGCGTCTGTCCCAAGCCCCACCTTCCTCCCCTGCCAGGGCCTGGCCCCATCACACGCTGTCCTCTCCTGGCAAGACAACACCCACCATTTCCCTGTAAACCATCTGCCACCCTCTCCTGTCTGCCTTCACCAGCTCCTGTCAGAGGCCACACAGACCAGGCCAGCTTCCCCCTAAACTCCACTCCTCAAAGCCAAACCCTACGCAATGTTGGGTCTCTGGCTTCCTACTGCCTGGGCAGTCCCTGGACAATCTAGTGGACCATGTGAATGACACATTAAAGAAAACATCTATCGTAACCGGTACCCAAGGGAACCCCCCTCCACACATATACATACACTCTGTCTCTGTGTGTGTGTCCCTCTTTTTTTAAATTTTTATTTTTATTATTTGTGTGTGTGAGTACCGTCAAATTAGATTTGACTGGTACAGGAGGAGATTGTTCCTCCTCCAGGAGAGCATCTGGTGGATTTGAACCGCACACCTGTGGGACTACAGTGCAGCTTCTTGCCACTAGGCCAGCAGAGCTCGCCGTGTGTCCCTCTTTAGTAAGACAAATCCAGTCTGTTCAACAACAAGCGTCACCCCTTCTGTTCTTGGCTAGTATAAGCAAAGTTCTATCTTACAAAGAATCAAGTATATCATCTCTGCTTACTAACTCAAAAATTAGATTTTTTTTTTTTAAAGGAGGGGGGCCCAGGAAACTTTGAACGTCAACAAAACAACCTGCAAGCTGTGTGTGAGGAATCAAGACAGGTGATTCTGGTTTCAGTGCGAAGTCCAGGATACGCGGTCCTCCTTTTCCATATGGTGAGTGGACAATAACTTCTGACGTGACATCCTCGGGCCTAAACAAGAGACTAGAGCGGCCTACCCTCTGGGACTCAGTCCTTCCAGGTGGGCTGCATCCTTATCCCTGCCCGCTCGTGCCCAGTGCACCCGGAGCCAGGAGGACCCACCTGACCACCGCAGTGAGAAGCAGACCTCTTTGAACTGAGAGCCAAGGATGATGTGACACAGTCTTGAGGATTACCCCAGAGCCCGAGTTAGCGTAGTCTGGAGCAGGCTGCAATGCTCACCCACAGGGGACACCTCTGGTGGTTCAAATCCCCCAGTAGCCAGGGGAGAAGGATGGGTAATCTTCACCCATGTGCAGCCTTGAGCACATGACGGCCAGGACGGACGGCTCTGAGACAGTTCCAATCCGGTGGCAATGCATTTATTGAGTTGTTTTTTCTGATTTACCTAGTTTGTTCAGCTAATGGGTGAATCCAATACCACAGGACACAGAAGAGGGTAGGCAGGCTTGCAGGGCTGCGAGTGTAAATATTCTTTTTTAAAGCCAGGAACTCCCAAATAACCTATCAAAAAGTCAGTAAGCATTAGCCCATTAAAACATTAGTTTTACATTCTGCTTTTACAAAAAACAAAAGAAAAACAAAAGCAACTCAACAAACCATAAATGTGTATGTCATTGTCAGTGCGTCCTGGTTCTTCAGCTCTGGCACAATTCACTTTCTTTAATCCCTATTATTAAACTGAAGCAAATGTCATTATACTAACAGAAGCAGCCAGCCCGGCACTGCCTAGATGGTGTGTCCTCCCTAACCGTGTCCACGGCCAGCTGTGACCGGCGCTGGCCCACCACTGCTGCCCAAGCTAAAGGTTCCCAGCTGTCCACAACACGAGCGACTCCTCGGCCCCAGCGCTGCCAAACCCAGACGCCCTCATGCACCTGAGGTCTCGGACACGCGGGTCTTAGCAGCTGGTGGGTCACAATACAGTGGGCATCAGGCTTGTCCTCCTGGGGCGCACACAGCAGCACACCTGGATTAACAGAGACCCTGAAAACTCTGGAACCCCAAGGACTGAGGAAACCAGAGGAAAGAAGGTACAACGTATTCCTCTCCTGAAAACAGCAAATGCTAAGTGGCCAAGTGCAGCTGGGTAACAGGAAAAGTGAAGGTGAAACACAAAGAACAGCAAAGGTGTGCACACTCAGCCTGGGGTCCCTCCTGAGTCCCTCAGCCGGATGGTCCCCCCACCCAGGCCCCACACCCACCTCCTCTTGCCCCATTTCCTGAGCTCGC